ATTATTAATATTTAAAACAGTACATCAGGATTCTTTGATGAATAGAAAGATCCAAAGATCTGCATTTATCTGAAATAAAAAGCTTTTGTAACATTACCCATGGACTATACCAAGCGCTTGGAGTGCGGGGATTGTATAAATTACTACTTTTGTATTATGCTTTAAATTTATCAAAAGTGATGATAAAGATATTTATAATTTTACAAAAGATTTCTATTTCAGATCAATGCTGTTTTTCTGAACTTTCTATTCATCAAAGAAACCTGAAAAAAAAATCAAATCTGTTTTCAACATAATAATAATAATAATAAATGTTTCTTGAGCAGCAAATCAGCATATTATACTGATTAGCTTTTGTAACATTACCCATGGACTATACCAAAGGCTTGGAGTGCGGGGATTATATAAATTACTACTTTTATTTAGAAAGGATGTTTTAAAGGTAACACTTTACTTGAAGGGGTGTGCATAAGACTGACATGACACTTTCATAATCATGACACGACACATGCATAATCATGACATGACACATGCACAATCATGACATGACATGTCATGAATATGAAGGGTTTTTATGCATGTTTATGACAACTGTCATTAAGTGTCATTCACTCAGTTATGTAATTTTTAATACAAATATGACATTATTTGACTTAACCCTACCCCTACCCCTAACCATAGCCCATAACAAAGACATCTCAAACAATGTCATCTTTGCATTAAAAATTACATAACTGAGTGAATGACACTTAATGACAGTTGTCATAAACATGCATAAAAACCCTTCATATTCATGACATGTCATGTCATGATTGTGCATGTGTCATGTCATGATTATGCATGTGTCGTGTCATGATTATGAAAGTGTCATGTCAGTCTTATGCACACCCCTTCAAGTAAAGTGTTACCGTTTTAAATTTATCAAAAGTGATGATAAAGATATTTATAATTTTACAAAAGATTTCAGATAAATGCTGTTCTTCTGAACTTTCTATTCATCAAAGAAACCTGAAAAAAAAACGAATCTGTTTTCAACATAATAATAATAATAATCATCAGAAATGTTTCTTGAGCAGCAGATCAGCATATTAGAATGATTTCTGAAGATCATGTGACACTGAAGACTGGAGTAATGATGCTGAAAATACAGCTTATAAATCACAGGAATAAATTACATTTTTATAAAAATATTAAATATTACTGTTTAATAATATACGATATTACAGTTTTTGCTGTATTTTGGATCAAATAAATGAAGGCTTGGTGAGCAGAAGAGACTTCTTTAAAAAACTTTAAAAATATTACTGATCAAAACCTTTTGACTGTTAAAAAAGTGAAGAAAAAAAAATAGTGTATTAAAACACAATTTCTAAAGTGCTTAAATGTCAAAATTAGTGCAATATAAAGTCTAATACACTATTGAATTATTAGGCTGTGAGCCTGTTACTCATATTATTTTTGTGTTGCTGTCTCTAGCTCCCTCCCTCCCTGTACAATAAATCCATGTGATTATCTGTCTCTGCTGATTTTTTTTATGTAACTTTACAATCGATATTGATGTCCTTTAGCACAGCATTCTGAATGATGACAGTAATGTGGTGCTAGTACTGATACTAGCAGTTTATTACTCAACTAGGTTAATAAAGACAAAACTATCTAGCGTATTTACAGATGAAACTGACCTAGCTACATTTCACTGCTTCTTCTGTCCGCTTTCTCTCCTTCATCGAGTCCCGCGCATCGCTTCTGTTCGGAATCGACTAACCGATTTATGATTTTAAAAAGTGAAAAAAGTGAGTGAAGTGACATGTGGCTAAGTATGGTGACCCATACTCATGCACACCCCTTCAAGTAAAGTGTTACCGTTTTAAATTTATCAAAAGTGATGATAAAGATATTTATAATTTTACAAAAGATTTCAGATAAATGCTGTTCTTCTGAACTTTCTATTCATCAAAGAAACCTGAAATTTAAAAATATTACTGATCAAAACCTTTTGACTGTTAAAAAAGTGAAGAAAAAAAAATAGTGTATTAAAACACAATTTCTAAAGTGCTTAAATGTCAAAATTAGTGCAATATAAAGTCTAATACACTATTGAATCACAGGAATAAATTACATTTTTATAAAAATATTAAATATTACTGTTTAATAATATACGATATTACTGTTTTTGCTGTATTTTGGATCAAATAAATGAAGGCTTGGTGAGCAGAAGAAACTTCTTTAAAAAACATTTTGACTGGTAGTGTATTAAAACACAATTTCTAAAGTGCCTAAATGTCAAAATTAGTACAATATATTTGTTGAAAAAGTCTAATACACTATTGAATTATTAGGCTGTGAGCCTGTTACTCATATTATTTTTGTGTTGCTGTCTCTAGCTCCCTCCCTCCCTGTACAATAAATCCATGTGAATATCTGTCTCTGCTGATTTTTTTTATGTAACTTTACAATCAATATTGATGTCCTTTAGCACAGCATTCTGAATGATGACAGTAATGTGGTGCTAGTACTGATACTAGCAGTTTATTACTCAACTAGGTTAATAAAGACAAAACTATCTAGCGTATTTACAGATGAAACTGACCTAGCTACATTTCACTGCTTCTTCTGTCCGCTTTCTCTCCTTCATCGAGTCCCGCGCATCGCTTCTGTTCGGAATCGACTAACCGATTTATGATTTTAAAAAGTGAAAAAAGTGAGTGAAGTGACATGTGGCCAAGTATGGTGACCCATACTCGGAATTAGTGCTCTGCATTTATCCATCCAAAGTGCACACACACAGCAGTGAACACACACACACCGTGAACACACACCCGGAGCAGCTTATTATCGATTATCATTATTATTATCAGAGCAGCGGGACAAATCAGTAACCAATTCTCCCGGTGCTCCCGATGGCCAGTCCGGGCCTGGTTAAAGTCCCAGAGCATGAAGTAGTGTGGTAGTTTGAGTCAAACCCAACCCTAAAACTCCACCTGAGCTGCAGATAAACTCTCACACAGCATCAACCGCACTTTCACACGTGTTGACGCACTCTCTGGAAATACAACTAGCCTTCATATCACCGGATCCCTTTTTAAAAGCAACATCTGTTTTTTCCCCCCACAGTGACTGGAAGACAGACATGGACAGGTAAGATGCTATTCATATTTGAGGTTTTGAGATTACAGAAGACGGGGATATCAATACTTTGTCAAAACGTCTTATTACCAGAATCTGGGAGTGTTGATATATGGCACTTTTTAAACATGATTCATTTTGAGATTCCACAAGATTGAAAATTCTGATTCTTTTTTTTTTTTCAATGAAAATATTAGTGCGTGTCTGTGGGGGGGGGGTATTTTGTAATATACATTATCATTTGACATCATCCCATGGCTCCCTTTGGAAGTTTGGAAGAGACCAAACAAAAAAGATATTTATATATTTTAATGCACATTAGTATACATATGAAATATGTTTATAAAGATATTACACAATGATTTAATATTTGATTAAAATATTCAATATGGAGTAATGATTAACGTTTAATATTAACTTCCAGACACAATTTGTGAAAACATGGGAAGAAATCTGACTTTTCAAACTTAATATCTCATTGAGGTCCTGATGTTCCCTAAAGAGGAAAAATAAAAGTCTTTCTTGTTCATGTTTCCAAAAAAGATATTTTTTAAAATGCGGTTAACAAGCGTTTAACTGTCCGGTCTGGCCAAATACTCATGTATTGGTCACAAGGGCAAAACTAGCTTTTCCTGTTTAGCATCTGATTTCATAATAAAGAAGCAGACCACTGGAGCAAAAGATACAGGGCAGGTTTAACAGCTACATAAGTATAGCCCTGCTTTAGGTCTTGGGTTACTCGTTGTTTCTTAAAAGATCTTTCCTGAAATAGTGCCTTGACAAAGACAAGTGCTTTAAAAATGCTGCATGTCTCTACATTTTCACCCTTTACTTATGTCCCCCACAGTCAAACAAAAGAGCTTATGATGAACAGAAGTACACGAGACCCTTCAGCTGTGCATGGTGCATCAGAGATCACACGCTTTGTTGTCTGAGACAAGATTTCTAACATAATGACTATTTTTGTCTTATAGTTACAAAACCAGCATGAAAAGAGTGGGGAGTTCTGTCCAGGAGAGCTTACCAGAATCTGAATCCAAGAAGTATGTGGGAAGATGTTATTCCACTGAATAGTTTATCCTGATTCATTTAACCGGAACGTGTTGTCCTGTTGAATGCCTGATCTCTTTTGTTTTCTCTTTTCAGGAACTTTGTCTATGTTAAGGAGTATGTGAATAACTCGCGTCTTGATGGCAGGTAACTTGGAGGCTTTATATGTGACCCTGGACCACAAAACCAGTAATAAGGGTCAATTTTTCGAAATTGAGATGTATACATCATCTGAAAGCTGAATAAATAAGCTTTTCATTGATGTATGGTTTGTTAGGATAGGACAATATTTGGTCGAGATGCAACTATTAAATATTGAAAACAAATATTGAGAAAATTGCCTTTAAATTTGTCCAAATGAAGTTCTTAGCAATGCATAATAATGCAAAAATTTAGTTTTGATATATTTACAGTAGGAAATGTTCAAAATATCTTCATGGAACATGATCTTTACTTAATATCCTAATGATTTTTGGCGTAAAAGAAAAATGGATAATTTTGACCCATACAATGTATTTTTGGCTGTTGCTACAAATATACCCCAGCGACTTAACACTGCTTTTGTGCGCCAGGGTCACATATTCTTAGAATCATTCTCTGCCGTTATAGTTATTCAGCCAGAATTTGCTCCGTAAGATCAGCTGTTCTCAATTGGTTTGCTTTAGGACCCAGATTTAAGACTCAGCGCAAGAACAAAATTGCTTACATACTGTACAATACAAAAGTAATACGAATATTCCAAAAATAAGCACTGAAATGAATTAACATGCCCTTGAACTGCATAGACTCTCTGATATGTGAAGCGGACCCTCAAGGGACTAATGATGCACAAAATACAACTTGACTGTGTGATGAGGATCTGGAGGACAGACCTGTCACCTTTTTTATTTTATTTTTGTAACTGATGTAAAATAAGTGCAGTGCGGAAGGTTATGGAGTAGTCATCTGTGGATCAGTACAATGTCTTCAACCACAAAAATGCTCTGTCTTTATAGCAGCTCTGACTATGTGTCATCAACAACCTCCAACTACAGCTACAGCAGCCCCAGCTACTCCTCCAGGTAACACGTTTAGATATCTCACATGACATATGACGGGTACACAGCAGCCCCAGAAACAAGGACACTTCATTCTGTACTTATAAACGTACACAAAAGCACATTCATACATTTTGGGGCAAATGTATATGGGCCATTCTACAGAAAGTCAAGAGTTGGAAACGTCTTGAAAAAAGTCAAATTGTGTGTATGCAAATTGTATAATATCCAAGGTACACATTTCTAGTAATTGTGCAGTTAATCCTCATATTGTATTTTCAGAAAGTTTTGGAATATTTGTCCTCTCCCCAAATGTGTCACTATACCAAAACACAGTAATAATAATTTAATTAGAAGGGTTATATTGACCTATTAAGATTTTGCTAAACTTTTGTACATTTTTTGCTATTGTACATTTTCAGAGGTAAATCAATAACAATTAAATTTTTTAACAATATTTCAAGTGTAATTTATAAGATTTGTTGTATTTTGAATCCAATTTTTCTTTGTAAAAGGCGAAAAGTTGATCATACTGATTTCAACGTTAAGCATTCGTTAGTTTGAATATTCATTGAAATAAAAACTATCATAACACCTTAGTTGATAAGTCAGTATACTTTATTTTTGACAAACCAACCCACGTTTCGGTAGTGACTGCACATTTTTGGTAGTGACCGTAATGCTTTGGTAGCAACCACATCACAGAATTTAACTCGCAGATTAAAACACTACTGAAACATACTAAAATACAATGCATAATGTACTCAATTTTAGTTTATTTCCCCCAGATATGAGGATTATGTGCTCCCTTTTGTCACTACCAAAACAATGAAGACATGTTTCGGTCGTGACAATTCTATGGGATAACACCCCAAAAAAAAACCCAAAGATGTCACTACCGAAACTCCACCAAATATTTCGGTAGTGCTTTTGAACCTAGCTCAAAGATGCTAATCAGCACATGGTTAGCTAGCACAGTTCTGAACAGTGGTATACCTATAAAAACTAAATGTTATGGAATAACTCCCCAAAAAAGTGTGCTTAATTGCAGAAAAAAGGTGTTCGGTAGTGACGTTCCTTAAAGTTACACACAGATTTTTCAGCCTTTTGAACACATTTACCTCAAAATGATGAGACCTATCTACTCACACCTTGTAGCAATGAGAGAGGGGGACACAGGGATGTTTCCTGATCTTAAATTTAGGGGTGTAGTTCAAATCTCGGCCAATAGACTAAAACGCGCACTGTTTCGGTAGTGACATGAAAAATGCAGGACACTTTTTTTTTTTGTTTCATAATTTACAAAGAAAATATAAAATAAATATGTTTTGAACTTCACTTTTTAAAAGAATCAAAAAGATACTTTTAAAAACAACAATGGAAACAAATAAAAAAAAAATTACTTAATTAATTAATAATTAAATGAAATAATTACTTAATATAACTTAAAACATGTTGAAATTTAGGGGTTAGGGTTCGGGACAGCCACCTCCCAACCGAAAGTACCCAATAAATGATGACTTTATATATTAAGCTTACAAATATTTTAAATATTATTGTGGGTTTCAATAGATAATAGAAGGATCTTAGTAAACATCTAAGATTTGAATGCTTAAATGCTTTTTAAATATGTTTTTTTGGTTGTGGGACAGCAGTTTCACATTCTGTAGAATGGCTCATATATGGACAAAAGTATTGGGACCCCCTTCTAATGAACAGGTTTGACTACTTTAGTAATTTCCATGAGTACAAATCTTAATGATAAATAGGGCTGGGTTTTGACACGAATTTCACGATTCGATTCGATTCTCATTCACAAGCTTGCGATTCGATTGACTACTTTAGTAATTTCCATGAGTACAAGTCTTAATGATAAATAGGGCTGGGTTTTGACATGAATTTCACGATTCGATTCGATTCTCATTCACAAGCTTGCGATTCGATTACCGATTCGACTCAATATCGATTATTGATATATATATCAGGTACAGTACCTGCCACATTTTCTCAAGGAAAACAAATCTCAACTAATGCTGTAAAATATACATGAGAGTCAGTTGGTACAACATTACTATAATATTGAAGGTTAAAATTAATGAAGTTTTTACAATAATAAAGTTAGTTACATATTAATATTTCTACTTCAATTCGTTTTTTGAAATATAAACATTTAAATGGTGGCTGTCATAACTTGATGGATTTATTCAAACATAAATTAAACACTGAAGAACAGTAAAATGTATAATGAATATGTTATATGGTGCATATATTAAGCAAAATGCCCCTCTCTAATATCGAATATGTTTTTCTGAGATAAATGTGACGTTACGTGACATTGTTTACAAGCCGTTATATTGACATCTTTGCGCAGCTTAAACACTGATTGAGCGATTACATGAGACAGGATACGGAGTGTAAAGTTATACTCATTCTTTTAACTTACCTTCGGATGTTTAGTCATGTTTATTTTGTGCTGAAACTGGTATTAATGTGGAGGAGACGATCAGTTCACGTGCACCTCGCGCTGCTGCGTCTGTTGAACTGAGGAGGCGCTACAGCGATCTGTCACTCCACATTAAACATTTATTATTTGAATACTGCAATACAATAGACATAATTTGAAATCTGTGGATTTGTTTCATATTAAA